TCAGGCTCAAACTGATTAACCCGCAAATCTGGCCTACCTGAGTTAACCTGAAAGGTTACGGGTTTGTGAGCCAGTAGGGGTGTTGCAGCCCAATATTCCCTCACCCGGACTTGTGCGGCTCGGCCCAAATGACAGGCCCAACCCGAGACTACTAGGCTAATTTACAGACCTAGTACTAATATGTTAGATTTTTTTAACCATTAGATATGCGTACTTTTTGATATTTACGTGATTTTATACAAATCTAAAAGACAAAAAATTTAACTTACGGGTACGTTAGGTCCCAAATTATATTTAGACCCCTTAATATATAAAGACACCCCATAATTAGCAAAATTACTAAAGAGGACAACTGAGAGAAAGATCAAAGAATCATACTCAGTATATCTGCACCCCCTTCTCCAACACTTCTTTCATTTCAATATACATGCACTCCCAAATTCATCTCTTTGACCTCTCTCTCCCTTTCGGCTTTCACAATCTCTCCCTTACTCCATGAAAGTAGTATACCGCACATATTTTCTTTTTATTATCATTTTTATTAATAGGTTTTTCTAATTTATTCTCCTATTTAAACCTCAATAACCGCTCTATATTCATTTTTAATTTTATCATGTTGCTGTGATGCAAATAATTTGGTCAAAAAGACTTTTTTGTTGTAATTGCTAGCATAATTTAGCGATAATTCTGTACATGACTTCTGATAATTCTGTACATGACTTCTGAAGAGTTTGAATGTCTCATCTCTAAGTTAAAAAAAAAAAAAAAGAAAAAAAAAAAGGCTTTTCTGTAGAAGCATTGAGAAAACCCAACACGAAAAGAGAAAAAAACAGTCGAGATGATATTTAAACCTTTATGTGTGTGTATTCTGTTTCAAACATGTCTCTGTTTAATAATTTTTCTAAATGTATATTCAAATCAGATTATCTCTATCTTAGCCTAACAAATTCAAAGATAAACAATTTCTTTTAAAGGAAAGAATTACAATTCGGAGGACTATTAAAATTAGTTGTCGTTAAATATTTTATATATAAAGGGTAATCTTGATAAATACCTTTTAAAAATATATAAGTCGGGATTTTTATCATTTAATCATAATTCATAACTTTTTGAGTTAAATAATTACACTAACAAAAGGATATTGATCAAAAATAAAAGATAAATGTCTAAATTTATGCACTTTTAAAAATAAATTCTTCATTTTTTTCATATATAAAAGAAGCAATGACGGAGCTAGGGGGTGGAGTCCCCTTAGCTTTTTTTTTTTTTTTAATATAGTTGTTTTAATTTTATTATAATAGATATGTGTATAAATTAAATTTGACCTCCCTTAAATTAATAATTATCTACATTTTATTGGGTCAACCATTTAAAAATTAAAAAATAAGAGGCTCTATACATAAATGTCTACGCAAAACACTTTAAATTTAAAAATGTCTACTATTTTATTTAAAATATTCAATTTTGTTCGGTCCATGAACATTAGTACGAATAGTAGCTTGTCCCAAAATCTAACAATTTTAATAGCCCAATTAAAATACTAGCTCATTTATGTTAAAGGTTATATTTTGTCCGCACTAAAAGCTTGCAAGGGAAGGTAACTCTTCAGTTTCCTGATTCTCAAACAAATATCTAGAATATCATTATATTAATGAGTCACAATACTATTTAAATACGGTGTGGCACTATTAAAATTTATTTTTCAACTATTGAAGGTAATTTATATCTAAACTATTTTTTGTAAATTAATACCCACCAATCACGCTTATAAATTATAAGCTGTATCTAAACTCTTTTTCAATCTTTAACTCAATAGGTTGATGAATGAAGATTATATCCAAACTGTTCGAAAAATCAAAATCAAAGATTGAAAGAAGTTTGGAGATTTGCTCCACTATTCAAGGTTAGATTTTTTTTCCTTCTCTTTTTCTTTTTTTTCCATTTATAATATTTTTTTCTTTCTAATTTAAGGAAATTTTTTTCATTCGTTACGTATTAGTCCCCATTATCCTGTCCCTCGCCTCTATGCCCGTTTCCTTCATGGGATCGCCCGATTTCTTGTGTTCCCCACCCAAAAGGCTAAAGTCCCGGTTTCTATACAGAGATATGCCCATCAGATGAAAGTTTTTCACGGTCTACAGGAACCTTGTTTTACTATTCTATTTTCATAGGCAAGACTAACTAGTAGTTCCAAAGAAAGGAGCATCTGGCATAGGCAGCAAGCCTTGGGAAGGCTTTCTTCGTATGATCGGTTCTTTTTTCACATGTAGGTTCCTCCGCAGATGGTATGGTCGGCTTGCGCTCTTACTTGGAAGTGGTCTCAGTCGGCAGAACAGAAATCAATGTTGGGGATGGACCTTAGCGTTTCCTCTCTATCCGGAAGTAGGGAATCCCTTGCATATCCCGTTTTGAGACAGACCATCGCCGATAAAGTGGAATCTACTATTGCCTGCTGCCTGCCAGGTCATTCAATCTCTCTCACTCCCAGGGTTTAGCTCCCGGCTGGAGGAAGAGGGGCAAGGCATTAGGGATAGCAGCTTCCGCCTCCGGTAATGAATGGATAAGGTGGTAGTTCAATATTTCAGAATAGCCATAATGGAAGAACTTATTGCTTGTCTGGCCCTCTTCCCCGCCCTACGAATCAAACATCTCCTGGCATCTAGTTTATTTAAAAAAGAGATTGGTTAGTCGCCTTCTGTTCATTCTTACCCCGCCCTCTCCTCATCAGTTGAGTGCTTTCACTCCTTTCCCTCATCGGATTGGCTTAACAGTGGACTACGTTCGTTGCGTCGCCTTGGCAGTCAATTCGATGCGGCGGTCAAGCGAGAAGGAAAACTAGCACTAGCTAGTTGTTTTAAGAAAGCAAGCCATCAAGCTAGCAACGCTACGAGTAAGCCTGAGCCAAATCTTCTTCATGTAAAACCTGCTTTATTTAGATCGGGAAAATCGTACGGTTTTATGAAACCATGTGCTATGGCTCGAATCCGTAGTCAATCCTATTTCCGATAGGAACAGTTGACAATTGAATCAAAAATTTATCATTATTTTAGTATCCGTAATAGTGCGAAAAGAAGGCCCGACTCCAAGTTGTTCAAGAATAGTGGCGTTGAGTTTCTCGACCCTTTGCCTTAGGATTAGTCAGTTCTATTTCTCGATGGGGGACAAGGGAAGGGATATAACTCAGCGGTAGAGTGTCACCTTGACGTGGTGGAAGTCATCAGTTCGAGCCTGATTATCCCTAAACCCAATGTGAGTTTTTCTATTTTTACTGGCTCCCCCGCCGTGATCGAATGAGAATGGATAAGAGGCTCGTGGGATTGACGTGAGGGGGTAGGGATGGCTATATTTCTGGGAGCGAACTCCAGGCGAATATGAAGCGCATGGATACTACGAGATGACACGACATCGAAAGTCAACCTGACCGCTTTCTCTCCGAAAGGAATCGGAGATACTTTCTGGCGGACGAGGTCATAGCACCGGGACATCAGACCATATTTATGAAACTTTGATAATTGGTCTTTCCGATCCGGCCTAAAACACACGAGTGGTTGGTACTTCAAAGTTCATACATAGAGGTTATTACTATTTTTTTGTTGTTATTATTAACAAAGTTATTTTAGTTGGATTTTATACTTAAATTGTAAAATAGAAACAATAATTTTCTGTAAAAAAATAAGTTGGCATAATTACATATGTGTATAGTTTATTAGATTTATATAGTTTAGTTTATATGAGGTCTTAAAATTTATTTTCAGTTCTAAATTACTATTCGTCATTGGGAAGCTAACAATTGATGCATTTTTTAAAAGAAAAATTATTTAAGATCAAACAATTTGGAGAAGAAGGTCAATCATCTATTTTAAATTCTGAAAATTCAGTTTCCAAGGCTTGTTCTTTTAGAGTTTAACTTGAGTATAATTCTTGAGTTGAATTTGAGTTATAACTTGAGTTGAACTTATAACTTGAGTTTGTCTTTGGTTGTATACATTTGAGATATGGTTTGAGATAAGAATCTTTTTGAGTTTGTGTTTGAGTGAGTCAAAACTTGAATTTGTATTTAGATAGTATTTTAATAAAAACTCAATGCTGATGAATAATTTTAATAGGGTATATGGGTCAGATTTTATTCGTCTTTTCGTTGTCAACGCATAGAAAAAAAATCATCTCAATCAGAATTAAAACGAAAAAGTTATAGCATTTTTAAGAATAGAAAAAATATTGTTCATTAATTTGAGTTCGAGTTTCTAAACTCAAGTTGAAGGGGAAACTTTAACTCGAGTTTTAGTCATAAACTCGAGTTTGAACTCGAGTTTAAACTCGAGTTTAAACTTAAAAGAACATGAACTCGAATAAAATTATAACTCGAGTTGTATTTTTTTGAATTTAACAAGCCCCAAGTATCTCAAAAAGGTTCAAAAAATTGAAATTACAAAAAAAATAATATTAATAATAATGTTACTTTTTATATAACTGACAGTGATATATTTTTCTATTTAGATACAATATTGATATTTTTATGTGTCAATATATTATGAATTAATTTAATAAATAAAAACTATTATATATACATGTTAATATAATCTTAATAAACAAACAAATTTGAGCCTCTACTGATAAATCTTGACTCCTTCCTTGAAAAAAAAAAGTGACGGAAAAGAAGTTATTGTCTGTGGGGTGTATAGTGTCAGACTAACATGAAAGTGGAACCGTTTAGGTTTAAAGGTATAACTGTAACAAAATGACTAGGACTAATAGTTTTAAGACTGGGGTGCTAATAATATAATTTCTATTTCGTTTTTCCCCTATTTGGTGGGTGGGGGTTGGGTTTGCTATCTAGGCCCAATTGGAAATTGGGCTGAATCTCCTGCACGATCCACATAGTTCGAGAAAGTTTGCCAGAATTCAGGAACTTACCAGAAAGTTCATCAATAACGCGGGAAAACGATTCTGCGAGAGATTGCTCGAATCTTCTCAGTTTTCCTATAAATATGAACACCAATCCTCCAAATTCAAGCACAAGGAAAATAACAATAAAAAGAGGAGAAATTCTCACACAGATTAGCACCAATTCAGCTAAACTTTACAACCATCAACAATCTTTTCTTTCATAATCTTTAAGTAATCTCCACAAGAAAATGTCACTCATTCCAAGCTTCTTCGGCGGCCGACGAAGCAGCAGCGTCTTCGATCCCTTCTACCTCGACGTGTGGGACCCCTTCAAGGACTTTGCCGCCCACTTTCCCTCCCAACTTTCTCGGGAAAATTCGGTGTTCGCGAGCGCGAGAATCGACTGGAAGGAGACGCCGGAGGCGCACGTGTTCAAGGCCGATCTGCCGGGGCTGAAGAAGGAAGAAGTGAAGATCGAGATCGAGGACGACAGAGTGCTCCAGATCAGCGGAGAGAGGAACGCCGAGAAGGAGGAGAAGAACGACACGTGGCACCGCGTGGAGAGGAGCAGCGGCAAGTTCCTGCGGCGGTTCCGACTGCCGGAGAACGCGAAGATGGAGGAGGTTAGGGCTTCCATGGAGAATGGGGTCCTCACTGTGACTGTTCCCAAAGTGGAGGTTAAGAAGCCTGATGTTAAGTCCATTGAAATCTCTGGTTGATTTTGGGGAAATTTCCTTTGGTTGTTTCTTTGAAATGTGCACGTGTGTGAATAAGATGTTGATCATGTAATGTGACCGTGTGCGTATGACAATCTAATTTGGCTGCAGTGTTTGTGTATATTTGTGCTAATTAATGTGGTCAGTTTTCTTTTAATCTTATTGTATAAGAAATTGTCTTGCGAAAATTTATCCCACTTTATTATACCCGAACACTAGAGACTACGGCAAGCTAGAATAGGACTCTAATTGAAGGATACTGTTTCCTTATTTTAGTTTAATTGTGAAAAAATTGAAAACTATAAAGAATTAGTTTTTTTTTTTTTTTTTTTTTTTTTGGGAAA